AACTTTGAACTTTGGAGACTGCCCTTAATTGTGTCCGTATTTCGTACACGGGGGACGGGCAGAGGAATGCAAAAGTCGAGACCGAATCCTTTTCTGCTCAAAGCAGAATCCAGCTCCGTCCGCAAGTCCTGTGCGGTGTGCCACGAGAAAGTCAAAAAAGAGGAAGGCAGTGGGCAGGGAGACAGGCAGCGGCAATGGACCCTGAAAGGGGTAAGTGTCAGTTTCAACGAACCATGACGGTGATTCCTCTTCCAGCCCAGGTGGGTGGGTGAATGTTTATTCGCTCTGGATGGAGGCCCTGGACAATTGATAGAGGCCCTAGATGAAAAAGACGGCCCCCCGCCCACGGGACTCGGGTCTTGGGACGTCGCGGACCACTTCAGACGATACACTCTGGGGCTCGGGACGGGAACTCCAGACGATACATACGGAATGGGGGGGTTTGATTACGTACGTCCCCTCCTGTGCCGAAGGTGGGATATTGACGACGACATACAACGACCACGTCGACCACAACCGCCACCTAACGTCCCGCCGACCGAGGGCGCTTTTCGGCGAGTTGTAAGTTTCGGTGGAGATTATGGAGCCCTTTTTACGGCAACGGTCGATAATCTCCGGGACAGCCGGCCTTTGCCATCCCGCCGGAATGCGATTGAGAAACCGGCATACCCGCCTTTTGCTTGCGACTGCGAGTCGCGAACCTGCAGAAGCTCACACGACACAATACCGGACGTGGAGATGCCAAGCGATGGGATGCGGGTCACTTGGCAGCAAGGTCAATACTGAGTCTTCGAATACTCTCTGTTTCTCTTTCGCTCTCGAGGTTCGGAGGAATACCATGCTTAGCTTTGAATCGGCTCTTGAGGAAACTTTCTGCCTCGGATCGGATATTTTTCTTCCATAGTATCGTATCCGTGGTAGCAGCCGCAGTCGGCAGCATTGATCAAGGCAGGGCGCTTGCTTTTCGTCTTAGTGATGCTGACAATATCACAACTTACACGTATTCCTGGTGCCGCGCATCGCGCATTGCCAAATCACGGACTTCTCGCCGTTCAATCTATATCCAAGCCAACGATCATCGTCCGTGTCCGTGTATCCATACTACGGTACTACCGTACGGATAGTGTAGGGTTCCCTTGGTCCCCCTCTTCGAGGGTCCATCCAGTGCAAGATTTCCCAGGGAAACAATGGCCGCAACTCTGCAGTTAAGGACGACACCCAGCCGATATCAGGTTACTAAAAATGGTCCAAAGGAGGGATGGGCCCGGGACGGGAAGGGGCCGGCGAAGTGGCAGCGCCAGCAAGCAAGTGAGGGCGGGAAAGGGGCACGCGCGGGGGAGGGGGAGAGAAAACACCAGATGTAAGATTTGCAAAGTCACCGAAGATCAGGACAAGGACCAAGGGACGACCGAGAAAGCGACGAAACGTGCTCTATACTTTGCTCTTTTCTCACTTTCTTGGCCACAGACTCCGAGTGTCAGCACACCACACCGACCGAGTTCTACAAGTTTTGAAAGTCCCAATCTCATTCTGTTATCCCCCATCCCCCGCCCTGAACCTTGTCTCCATTTCTTCTTCTGTGACCGCATCGTCAGATCGAAATTTAGAGTTTTGGTTATCTTGGTTGGTTCATCCCGCAACCAGAACCCTTACACCACGCCGCTGGGGACCAACTCGAAACGCAAATTCCAGACACCGCGAGACCCGTGGAAAAGGCAGGATAAGGGGTTTGTTAGGGTTCGGTTTGGAAGTGCCGTGTGGCGGTGGCGAGGGAGGGAAAGCCAAAACCAAAACTCGACACTTGCGAGGAAAGTTGTGATGGAAGTGAGGAAGGTTTTCCCTAGCAAAAGAGCTCAGCCATTGAAGAAGAAACACACACACGTACACACACCGTAATCTCTCATCAGCTTGTTTTGGCCCTTGCTTGTGCGGGTTGTACGACCAAGAAAAAGTCATTGTCTCTCTGATTACCCATCTCTGACTACAAGACTACATGACCACTATAATCAGATTTATAGTTTACTTGGACTCTTCAGCTCGGTTGCGCTGAAAAGGCACCACCCCACGATAGCAAGAGCGCAACGGGGAAAAGGACAAAATAGCTCTTGTCGACACGCCCCCCAAAATCCCTAGTGCACACGCTGTCCCATCCCCTCATCCTCAACTTTGGAAGCCATTATCTCCCAAATATCCAAGCCTTCATCTTCCGTTCTCAAAACCGCCTAGACAACTTTACGAAATCATCCATCCCCCGTTGGCCTGTTGTTTTGACAACCGGAATCTACTCCGGAGAATTGTTGTTCGTCCAAACCAGCCTTGAGCCACGCCACACTCACCTACATACACACCCTTCTGCAAGAGGACTAAGGCAATAGCCCGGCCATTCTCGATGACAAGACAATAAGGCATTGCTAGTTCCTACCGCACTTGGTTACGGCCGTACGCGTGTACTTTCTCCACGGCTCACGCCCACGCCCCTCCCACTTTCCCTTTCCTTCAAAATGCTTTCCGTATCGTCGCTACAACGGCCCTGAGAATCCCTCTCAACCCTTCTCGCTGTTCCCCCTTGAATAAGCAAACCTGTACGTACGCCCCTTATCAACCCAGCGATATTTAGACTCTGGTGGTGCAGCACGGCACGGAATCCCTCTCAAGCCATGGTAGTACAAGACTGCCCACGCCCCGACAAAAAGACTTGAACAATATCAAGAACGCATGCTAAACTTTTTTCCAAACCTTGCTTGGCCCTTGAGGTCCCCATCTTCACGCCCCTGTCTGCCTCCCCCTCATCACCACCACCCACCTCCTCACGCCCCTGCTTTGCATTCCCCTCACCGGTCGAAGTCATCTCCAATTTTTCGACGCCTCACAAAGCAAAGATCTTTTCCCCCCTTTTGCCTGCCGGTCTTTTTTGGCTGTACTATGTACGTCTTTGCTATGCCGTGGCACGGTTGGGGGAAACAACCGTGGTTTGGGAATGTGGGAAGTGGGGCCAAGTGCGAGGGGGCAGAATTTCTTCCTGACTTCATACATTGGTTGGTGAGCGAACAAAGGCAATTAAGGTTTATATCCCACATTCAGGTTTTCATTTTTTTTTTTTTCGTTTTACCTTACCTCACCGCCGCAAAAGAATCGACTCAACTTGCGTTGTTGTTTTTTTTTATGCTAAAAAAGAAAGTCTCGTTCCCATTCCTTCTGACTTCGTTGACAGGCCAGGGGGGAGGTGCCGTGAGAAGTCAGGCCGATATGCATGATCACATCGACCTGAAAGCCGCATCAAATCTTGTAAACAAGAAGGTCCTCTTACAAGTTACACAGGAACGTGCTCTGTCGTGGTGCGGAAGTTTATTATCCCTCTCGTCCACTTGCCTCTTTGATTCTTTTGCCCTTGACACGTAAATTGAGTCCAAGACCTGCGCGGTCAAAACTATAATCTCTCTCTCCCTTTCTTTTTCCCTCTCCTCATTTTGCCCAATCTGCTCGTCCGACCACAGCCTCTACTCTTGGACGAGACCGTGGACCGAAGATGTAAACTCTAGTAGTGATGGTAAAAAGAAAAGAGTAGAGTTTAGTTGCACGGTCAAAAGAGAGGCTTGAACCACCAAGACCAAAGCTTCCCTCTAACCAATTGTGGACTCTCGTATACATGCTATTTCATTTGTAGACTTGTAGGTTTTTGTGCAAACTTTTGAAGGCTCCCGGTTGCGAACCGAACTTACCTACAGACGATGGAAATCCAAAGTCGCGAGTGCGAACGGAAAGACGTCGTCGTCGTCAGTAGGTCCCCTTAGTTTTCGCAAATCCCTAAAAAGTCTATTATTAAAAGATTTGATCCTGCTGACAGAGACGAACGAGTGAGACACAAGTGACAGCGAGGAGGGGGGAAAGAGAGTAAAAAGAGAGCTTTGACAGTGAGTTGCCCGCCCGCCCGGACGGGATGAACATGTCAATCGGCAAATGTCATGCATCTCAGCGCCCGCATCTCTTTTGCCTTGCCAGTCAAAGACGTCCAACACTTCCACGGAGAACCTACTACTCAGCTTACGCATCTTGTTTTCCCGTGGTTCGGTTGACGATGATGTCGATCACACCACCCTGTCCCCCCCCGTTTGCATTTGTTGATTCACTGCACTTTTGGGCAGCAACGAATAGGCGTACGCTAGACACGGAGCTTTGGTTGGAATGAACCTCTGAAGCCTTGTGCTTGCATCAAATGCCCGTTATGTTTTTCGATTTTCAATCTTGCCCTCTTCTAGGGGTATGCTGCGAGACTACACATGCTTACGGCGGTGACGGCGGGTGGACGGCGGCGCCTTTTGGAAAAGAGAGTTGTAACTTCTAAGCCGAGAAGGTGGACGGAAAAGCGTAGTGAAGAATGGAAAAAGAGCATCCGTAAGGTAGGCGTGAACGGCGTGAAAGATGCCACGCGATACGCGATACGCCTTATTCGGTGGTGCAACGCTAGATCACCAGACCCCCGGGGAAAAGGAGGAGGCGTGTGGGAGGTTCGTCGTCGTCGACGACACCGGATTGTCTACTACGCAATGTACTATCCGACCGCCCGTAGCTAGCAAGTTCAGTAGTCTTTCGTTTGTTCCCGTCAGCGGCGACTATTACCGTGATTGCTTTGGGAATTACAAAATTGGTGTGGTGGGATGCCTAGACTCTCAATCACATGTCTTTGCGACTAAGGAACCCAAAGAGACGGGATAGCTTCCCTTTTCTCTGTAGCGGACTTTTGTAGAGGGTGTGTGTATGTGAGAGAGAGAGAGAGAGAGAGAGAGACACACACACACATAGAAAAGAGAGAAGGATGTGTGGCTTGACTTGTCAATGATGACTACAGCCCACCAACCGCAAAGGAGGCTAGAGCAAGAACGCCAGAGATGCGGAATTCATGTACGCGCCCCTTTTGGTAATTAAGGTTTTCCCACCTGTGGCCCGTCCCACCCTCTTCTTTGCTTCTTCCCTCCGACCCTCCTCGGGCATACGCCGCCCTCATGCTTCTGTTTTTGCTGTTGTCATCGATACCTGTAGTAGTCACGGTACCCTGGCCTCTAGGAGAGTATACGTACCTAAACCACACTTTTCTCCCAAATTACTCTCTCCCTCTTTACCGTCCCGTCCTGTTTTCCTTTACTGCGTAGACACACCCAAAGGGCCTAGGCCTAGCTATGGACGGCATGGACCAGGCAAACGCCAGCTGTCACACCATCTACCCGATACCCCTTTCAGCGTTTTGGTTTTCGTTCAGCAAACTTCATGGAGAGTGTGGTTTTGGTCAGTTCTCTCCTGCGACAACTGTCAGAATGTGGCTAGGGTAATCGTTGCGGTGTGCATATACTCACATACTCCCTCCCTCTCTGGAATAGGCAATAAACCCAACGGCTGAAAGTATGCAAAGTTCGCGCATCGACGGCCCATGGCAAGCTGTGCTCTCGGCGAGCTCAATAGGTGACTAGTTGTAGGTGTTGTACCTAACGTGCCGTTGAGCCATATCACCACACCCCTTGGACAGCTGAACCGTCTGAACGGTGCAACACACGGAGCAGACAGAGTTGGAAAGGAAATGAATGGGCGAAGCAACCTCCCGCTGCATCAGCAGCATCCATCGGTCACGATCGGTTGACAACTTTGACACTGGCATCGGCACATCGGCACCGACACTGGCAGTAGCAATTGCATTGGCGCGCTTCATTTCGTCGATTCGCTTCGCACCGAGATCACGCCCGCCCAGGTGCTTCGCATCGAGCCCATCAGGCGACGACGGCCCTGCTGTTGCCGCCGCCGCCGCCGCTGCTGCTGTGCCTGAACCTATTCGTACCCCGCCATGCTGGCCTACCCAGCAGCCTGTCGTCCCTCGCATGCCCGCAGCCCCAGGCCATGCTTCTGCATGAGATGCCTCACTTTGAAGCAAGGAAGAGAGAGCCACGAATTTTTCGTCCCTTGTAGAGTTTACCCCTTGCTTGTGTTGTATGGCATCAATAGGCTGCAGCAGCGGCGGGAGCATGCCTCACTCCATACGCAGTATCGCGGCATCGCCAAGTTCCAAACGTACCTGAACCTAGAGGTTTCCCCCAGTACAAGTCCGCAGGACGTTCCGTAGGTAAGTGAAAATAAAAATAAAAAAACGGCACATGGCCGAACCGGCCTAACCCCAGTTTGCAGGCTGCAGGATAGGACCAGCATCGCAGTAGTTCCCAAGAAGAGAAGATACGATACGGAGTACTCCCACCTTCGACTCCCGAGTCCAAGAAACCTTCTAGAACAAAACATACGATCGAACAATGCCCAGCGCAACCGCAGCATATGCTCTTACAACTCCACGACTTGTTAGACTTTTTGACTTTTCGGTTCTCCAATTCTCTTGCAGGGCGTGTGGGCGGCCTGACAGGTCCTAGCTACGTGTCTCTTGTCTCTCTCTGACAGTACCAAGTCGGTCCTCGCCTATTGAGTTCGACTCTGCCTCAAGCTTCTAATCTGGCCTCGCCGAGCTGCCTGACACTCGCCGAAGTGCCCCGTATGGTGTCCGTATGCTGCGCCGTGAAGAGGGTTCGTAAGGTGTGGCCTTGTGATGCTGACCATAATCACCTGCCCCAGCCCTGTATCTCGCTGAGTGGCATAACCATGCCGGCCCGGCGACGTGCGGTGAACTCGTACCGATACATCTTCAAGACGCACGATTTCTTTCGCACCACAGAGTTCCCTCCAGCCCCCCAGCCGACGTCACGCTGAGACTCCGCTGACCTCCGCGCTTCGCGTTACGTACTGCGGTACGCTCCCGTGCGGTGCGTTGCGGTGCGTTGCGAATCCATGGGACAAGAACGGCACAAAGAGAGACCCGCATCTGCACCCACGGCGGCTCTAAACCTTCTTTTCACTGCCCACCCGGACCCCGGGCCTAGGACTGCTTATAGGCTCGGAAAGGGCGTGTAAATGGAGTCACGACTGGGAGATCTTCTATGGGGACGACAAGTCTTGAGACGATCCTCCAATCACCGCCCCCGGTTCACCTCAACTTGGCAGTTGATGTGCTCTCTAGGTAGAACTTCGGCTATTTGTAAGGGGGTGGGCGTGAGTCAAGTACCGTACTCCATACTCGACCATACAACCAAGAGCCAGGCCTGTCAAGGAATGTTGGAGGAAAGCTTGGCCATCTTGGTCGGTTAATGGGCGACAGCGCCAAGGAAATCCAGCCCGATTCTTGCGAGAAATAGTCGCGAACTACTCCGTACGAGTACGGAGTACGAAGACACGAGGCGCGTCCCACTCCTGGAGCTTGAAGCCAAGCCAACCGCCAACCGCCAAAGACTTACTCGCTGCGACCTTGCCATTCCTGTACAAGAGGCGGCCGCCCCGTAGCGTGGTATTCTCGACTGGAGACCACACTACCGTGATCGATCGCCCGGGCACCATGTTCGATGGGGAAGCGCGCAGCAAAAGGCAACTGAGATGGTGAGCAATGCTCCCAAAGCTTATCTGCGACGCAGTGGACATCTGACGATCATAGAGTTTTTGGAGGATGGATGCGAGTGCGCGCAGTGTCCGAGAGAAGATGAGAGCCAGTCAGTGAGAGTAAGAATGACACCGGTAATCACTAATCGGTGGCCAAGGCAAAAGGAATATTAAGGTTTCCTGATAGTGTCTTTGTTGTATATCGACGATCAACATGGAGCTCCACGGCGATGACCCCTATTTTCGTTACTTCAGATGCGAAATAGGAGATGGTGTGGGAATGGAACTAGACCAGACCGACACAAGCGCCACACGCCCCTCCATGGTTTGTCATTCCCGCGCCCTCCTTTGAGCTTTTCAGTGAGGTGTGCGGCGTGCCGTGTGTGCGTGCTTGGGGATGGTCCCTCTCTCCCAGACTGCCGGGCTTCCAGTGATGTATGAGGCTTGGATCGAGCGCTTGCAAATCTCATTAGGCTTTCTGTCCAAACGTGTGTAGCTGCTGAGAGGCTGGTGCGGCGCGCTAGCCTCCCTCACTGCTGGGAAAGCCGCGTAACTGCGTAATCTGCGTATCGTCTGTGGTTGGTGTGTTTTGGACAGCCGTCTCGCGAGCACGGGATGGAATTGGAGGAATGATGAGATGGACGACAAATCTGCCCAGGTGGAGCATATCGTCCGGGAAAGACAGTTCCCTTCGAGCCCCCCCAGTATTACATAGTATCCGTAGGCGAGACAGAACATGGGATTTGCGATTTGCCGTGGGATTTTTTGGGGTCTCTTTAGACTTTGGTAGTGCATGACATGCCCTCGAGCCCTCGCACAGGGACTGGTTCCCGTACGAGAAGGAGGAAATGTCGTGCCATGAGCAGCAGATGAACAGCCAGTCACCCTCCAACAAGCTTCCCTAGCAGAAAGTGGAATTGGCATGAAGGGTCGCAACGAATGGCCAACAACGATGGAAACATTGCTGGTCTCGAGATCATACAGCACCTTACTACTTGGTATAGGCACTCCCTGGTCTTGCAAGAGCGTGATGCGATGTAACTCAACCTGCCACCCAGATTCGCTGTAGATCGCTGCCGGGGAAAGGGGAACGAGATTTGGCAGGCGCGCCGTAAAGCTTATCCCGAGGGATGTAATCGTAGGCTGTGCTAACTCTATTCCTCCCTGCCTTGCACGCCTGGCAGCAGGCTGTCTTTTCGTCGTTCAGGCTGGTCTCTGGCTACCTACTACGTAGGCACTCATTATGGGTAGCCAAGTAGCCTATGGCCCTCTGGCTGGTCGCCTCTGACCCTTGCTTTTCCATCTCCGTACCCCGGTCGAGCAGGCTGCACCGAAACATGGCTGATCGGTTTGTATGGTGGACCGCGTACGAATACACTACACTAGACCGGGGGGGGGGGGGAGATGACGGCTATTTCGCCGTTTGCTTCTAACCCCGAAAGTTTAAAAAGCAAATCCCGATTCGACAACCTGCCAACTTGCCAACGGCAGTGTAAGGTGAGACACTTTCTCACCTCTGCCACAAGCGGCTAGCAGACCTGCCAGTGCACTTGGGCCCAGCTCAGTAGTGCCAGAGTAGCCTGAAGCCTCCCGTCTTTTCGTCCGTGCCAAATTCCAGCTGGTCGGTGTAATCCGGAGTCCGACATGGCATGTTTGTCCATGTTTGTCCATGTTTGTCCATGTCTACTCAGCAACTGCTCACGGCTGGTCTCAAGTGCCTGATACTAGCCTCTTGGAAGTTGAAACTTGAGAGCCTTCACCTGTAACTAGTGCACATTTGCCGATCTTAATTGGCTTCTCCTAAAGGGTTTGAGGCGGTCAAAACCTTCTCACGCCCATCGGCGGACTTCTCTTCGTCAGAGAGCACCGTGTTGTTGCTTGCTCTCACTCTCCTTGTGTATAGCTCCACGTCACGTGCACCGTCTCGACCGCCGCTGAACCGGAACACCTGCCGAGTAGTGCCAAATGCTGAGCTGCTCTTCATATCTGCCGGCATGTTGAAGACTGCCGTTCCGTTCCGGAACGTTGTGAGTTTGGAAGTCTTGTACTGGCTGCTTTGTCCCTGCCTGTTGCGGGTTGGGTTATTGTAAGCCTCAAGCCCGGTCGGGTAAACACCGACACCTTCGACTTCCAACCTCAATTCTTGGAATAGTGTTGCGTCCAGGCTCAGATCACCATTTGCTGACATGTTGGCAGTTTGATTGACGATCAGCGGGTACGAATATGTTGACTTGTATGTGCCCATCCCCGTCAGTTCGTCTGTCCCGGTGATGATGAAGTTATTGAAGCCATTGCGACCAAATTGGCCTAGCGTCGCATTGTTGGTATACGATAGCTTTTGAGTCCATTCAGGATTTTTGGTCCCTTTCTTGGAGACTACTTCGCCTTTGACAGAGATCATCCTCGTCACATCCAGATTGAATGCAAGAGTTTCGTTGGCGCCTGTAGAGTTCTTTCCTAGGGCCCGACCAGTGATTTTGATATCAGGGTCCGAGATTGATACGGTGGGCGGTTTCCCGGTCGTAATGGAGCCCTCTTCGTCCAGCCATAGGAAAACTTTGCCAGACACGACCCAGAAGTTGCCAACAGTCGTATTCACAATCGTTTTTTGTCCGTCATCCGCGAGGCCGGCGACTTTGATCTTGAATGTGTGCTCCTTGCCATCACTCAGAACCGGGAGCCATGGCGAAATGTCGATCTCGTGTTCCCGTAAATCGTAGGCATCAAGGCCTACAAGCGGGCGATGGAAACTGGGAACCACGCCTCCAGTGAAAATAACAGGGAACGGCCATTGAACCCCGGCTAGCTGGTCATCAATGATAACTTGCACCTCACGCCACGGGCTACCATCCGGAGCCATACCGATGGTGGCATTGAAAGCTGCAGCATCGCTCTGAAGTACATTGCTCCACCAAAATTCCTCGGTTCCTTGGCCATTGGCCGAGACGGAGAAGACTGCTCGATTGGCATTGCGTGGAAATTTGACAGTGCTCACGGCTTCACGTTCAGGCACTTGCCAGGCACTGCCTGTGTTGGAGGACGCGTTCCGTGATGAGATGGGGATGATGAGGTCAGCCGGGGGTGCACTGTCGGTTTCGACGTCGCTTTTGAAAAAGGTTGCGGTCAGGGTGCAGTTGAAGGGCCCCGTAAACCTGTCGTCTTGGCGGCGCGTTAGCCGTTTTGGCCCCCACTCCGAAGTCTCCGAGTGAAGGATTCGGGGATGGCAGGTCACTTGGTTTTGGAGCCTGGAGGAACTGGGATACGGGACATGGGCTTACTTACCGATGAGGTTGGGCAAGTCGAAAATGATCTTCTGAGGAGTCTTCCAGAGACTAAGATACGGGGTCATGTCTTTCCAATAGGTCCAGATGATTCCGGGCGGCGCTCTGGGCTCCGCAGTGGATGTTCTCCATACCTCCGTGTCGCCGAAATACAACAAAGCCAGCCGATCCAGTTGGCGCCCTGCAGAGGTGGCAGTAAAGTTTACAATGACGCGGTTGAAGTCGCAGCCAGGAGGCTTGTAGTCGCCTATCAACTCCAAGTCAGGATACCTATTTCCGGGTTATCCACCACGCATTTGATTTGCGTTACCCTAACCCTAACCCTAACCCTAACCCTAACCCTAACCCTAACCCTAACCCTAACCCTAACCCTAACCCTAACCCTAACCCTAAGTAACCCTAACCCTAAGTAACCCTAACCCTACTAACCTTTTTTATTTTAGGTCGTCTACTTCTCTCTTTTTAATTCCTAGGTTAGTTATAGCCTTATTAACTATGTTCTAAAGAGCGGCGATATCTTTATTATTCTTAACTAGAGTTACGGCTATCTAAGTAGAGTTATTATTAAAAAGCTCCGCGAGTTCCTTATTCCGCTTATTACTTTTTTTAACGGTACGTCGTATTTTTTTATAGTCTACCTTTTTAAAAACTATATTACTATTAGAGTTATAAGTAATATTAAGTATCTCGTTATCTTCGACCTTAGCTAGCTCGCTAGCTAAGTTAATAGGTCGCTTAGAGTTAGATAAAGGGGTGCTTAGGGTCTTAAAAAATATCGTCGTTCGTTTTACTACTTAGTAAGCTTCGTAGGGTTAACTTACTAAATAAGAGTAATTAAAATATTACGGCTAACTAGTTATAATAAGTATATTAATAAAAGTTAAGGCTACGAATATTAAATAAATAATATCGTAGTTATAAATAGCTTCTTTAAAACTATATTTATAAGTCGTAAGGTAGGTAAGGCTTTAGTAATTAATCGTAATCTTATTAAAAGGGGTTCTTAATAAAGATAGCTAAAAGCGATTATAAGATCTAGTACTAAGTTAATTACTAAAGAAGCTATAGAAAGTCTATCCTTAAGCCCGGCTTAAGTCTATCCTATATATAAGTCTCGTTCCTAAATATATCCTTTATAATATCCTTATTTATTATTATCTAATTATTTACCGAACGGTCGTCCGTCTTACTTATTTACGATCGTCCGTCCTACTTATTTACGGGCGTCCGTTCCTTATTTTATTGTATGATTATAGTTACGTAACTTATCTATAGTTCTTCCGTCCTAAGAGGAGTTACCCTAAGTTCGTACTTTTATATATATAGTATGGCAGCCGCTGCAGGTCCTATAGGGCGAGGCCCTAGTCTTATTATACGTATTAGGTCGTAATAGTATAGTTACGATATTAGCTAAGAATAAGGGATATAGCTAAAGTATAGGGAGCGGGAAGAGGGGATCGGTACGAGGAGGACTTAGCTAAAGAGTTCTACGAGCCTATAACCTCGGGTTTATTATAAGTAGTTATATCCGGGCTTAGAAATATTAAGGAACTAGATAGTAAATGCTTATTAAGACGATATTAAAGAAATTCGGTCTCGTTTAGTAAGAATCTAGGGCTGGGGCGAGGTAATAATAAAAATAACCGAGGACGATACCTTAGACTAGATTATAAGCCCGCGTCCTAAAGCGTAGTCGAGCGTAAGGTATTATAGTCTTTAATTAGTAAATACGGCGGGCTTAAAAAGAATTTCTCTAAGTACGAGTGAGAAAGTATAATCTCTAAAATAGATACCCTAGGTTATGAGCTATTAGGTAGCGATATTATAAATCCCGCGGTCGGGTCGTCGTAGTCGGTAGTAGGGATAATATTATTCGATTCTAATAACTCTAGGTAGGACTTAGTAATACGTTAAAGTTAGGATAGAGTTAGGAAAGAGATAGAGGACGGCGGTAAGCTTCTTAAAGACGGAGACCGTAGGGCGATAGTTAATAGAAGGTCTAAGGGAGATATTAGATCCGAGGGAGGAAAACGGAATATAAGCGGTATTAGGGACGGCAAAAAACTAGAGGCGTACCCAGGGTAGTCGTCTTATTAGGGCTAGGCCGCGGTAAGGGGGGAAGGGGACTAAGTATTTAATAATAGCTACTCTAACGAGCTTATCTAGATAGAATTATAACGAGAATTATAAAGTTCTATATAATTAACTATATCTAAGTCGTGCGGTATACTAATAGTAAACGATAAAGAATTTTGAACTTATAGTAAAACTAGACGAAGGTAGGTAGAAGTATATTTATTAAACTATTTATAAGAGCGATATTTTATATGCTTAGGGGAGGACGGAGGTACTAAACTCGGGGACGCCTAGGCGTATAGTTATTAGCGTTTGCGTTTTAGAGTACGAGGGGGTTCGGAGTTAGATAATAAAGTAGTTATAGATATAGTAGGATAAGACGAAGTAAGGTTAATAGGCCTAAAGTAATTGGGCGAAAAATTTCGCTTTTTAATTAAAGGTAGAAGAGGAGATTAACGATTTACTTTAGTAAGGAATTATTGTATTAAAGCGATCTTAGAAATATACTTCTTATAGTTCTTTCTAACTTTAATTCTTTTTACTTCCTTAGTAATAATAGTAAGATCCGATTTTTTTACTAAATATACTTCGTTAGACTTGGTAATCTTTTATAGCTACTAGTCGGATCGCTAGGTATAGTTAAGCTAAATGTCCCTAGTAAAGATAACCTAGTAGTATATTAAGGTATTATTTTAATTAAGGCCTAACGTTAGTTAATAAAAAGATTGCGTAGTACTAAGAGAATTAGTAGAGTTTATTAAGTAACGCTAATGCTGGAGGTATAGATAAAGCGAATGTTATAATTATAGGGACGTCTAACGACGCGGTCTTAGTAAAGGGAATTAATTATTTACTTCTTTATTTATAATATAGAAGGTAGCTAGTAGAAGTAGAGGAGGGAAGGTATAAGAGGTAAGACCTCCTAGATAGGCATAATAAAAGAGTAATAGTTATTAAGGAAATATAAAATATTATAGAAGTAGTATAGAGAGTTATAGAAGTCGGATTATTTAGGAGATAATAGAATAGAGAGTAGAATAAATAAAGAGGACTTTGGATAAAAGCTTAGGGGAACGTTAAGTATTTATGTAGGAGTTAAGTTTTTAAGAAATCTATTAAAGGAGTAGTAACTAACCGATCTTTATATAGGCGACTAATTTTTATATAAGAGACTAGTTTTTGTATAAGAGACTAGTTTTTATATAAGAGACTAGTTTTTATATAAGAGACTAGTTTTATATAGGTGATTAGTTTTATATAGGTAACTAGTTTTTATATAGGTAACTAGTTTTTATATAGGAAAGCACTTTTATATAGGTAACTAGTTTTTATATAGGAGAGTAGTTTTATATAGGTAACTAGTTTTTATATAAGAGACTAGTTTTTATATAAGAGACTAGTTTTTATATAAGAGACTAGTTTTTATATAAGAGACCAGTTTTTATATAAGAAACTAGTTTTATATAGGTAACTAGTTTTATATAAGTAACTAGTTTTTGTATGGGCGATTAGTTTTTATATTCGAAGCGTATATATTAAGTACTTAAGAAATATACTAATTAAGAATTATTAAGAGAGCGATACTAAATGTATTTATACTAAATAGAAATAAAAAATCTAAAGAGATAGAACTGCTCTATAATAAGTTTTTTAGTAAAACCGAAAAAGTGCATAATATTTAGATAAGAAATAACTAAATGCACTCGATAAGAATATGTTAATGAGAATAACGCTAAGCGAGAGTAATAGTAAATATACTAAACTTTTCTAAAAGAGATAGTATCGAAGTCGTAAAAAGCGGTTTCTAAGGTAAAAAAGTAGTCGAAGTATAATATGCCGATTTTAGAGGATAGAAGTTACTCAATTCGAATTTATGAGGGGCGTTAACTAGTTTTTATATATAACGACTAGTTTTTTAGTGTTATATCTTTTTTTAGGCGAAAAAGGTCCGTATAGCCTTAACGTATAATTAATAAAAACCCGCGCTTTGACTAGAACTAGTCGAAATCCTGAGAATCGTATATGCTAGGGTTTATAAATTTTAAATTATTTTTTAACTCGCTAATAATAAGTAAAAAGCTAGCTAAGGTAGTAAGTATTTAAGATTTATAAATTTTAAAATTTCTATTTAAGCCTAACCCTTCGGCACTTAATTAACAGGTCTACGGGACTAGACTTTTAAAAAAGAAACCTAATATTATAACCTAATATATATAACTAAGACCAGGGCCTACCCCATAGGCTTATAATAACTACGGTATACTATATATATAAAAGTACGGGAATATAAGGTGACTTTTATAAAACAGAAGAACTATAAAATAAGTTACGTAATAATAAAAAATAAAAAGGTCCGTATACTAAGGATACGGACCCCGTCCTTTTAAAATACGGAGCCCGTATATTTAAAATACGGGGCCTATTAAAATAATATATAGATAAAGGATATATTTAAAAACGAGACTTATATATAATATAGACTTAAGCCGGGCTTAAAAATAAACTTCTTATAGCTCCTTTAATAATTAACTTAATATTAAATCTTACGATCGCTTTTAGCTATTTTTACTAAGAACCCTTTTTAATAAGACTACGATTAATTACTAAAGCCTTACCTACTTTACGACTTATAAATATAGCTTTAGGGAAGCTATTTATAACTACGATACTATTTACTTAGTACTCGTAGCCTTAACTTCTACTAATATACTTACTACGACTAGCTAGCTATAATATATATATACTAAGTCATAATAAGCCTTATTTACTTTATAATTTATAAATATAGCTTTAGAGAAGCTATTTATAACTATAATACTATTTACTTAGTATTCGTAGCCTTAACTTTTATTAATATATTTATTATAACTAGCTAGCTATAATATTTTAGCTATAGCTAAAAAGCTTTAGCTATAGCCCTACTAATACTTTTAGTTATAGTACTTAACTTTTTATTATAATATTTATAACTTTTAGCTATAGCCTTATTAAT